GGATTTCTCTGAAAAATGTGATGCAACGTTATCTACTGATTCGTGAATGTTTGGCATTTGATACTTGTTTTTGAAGATTTGTTGGTTGATGAATTACGAATCCAACACGAGCTTTATAGATTTTTCTTTCTTTCAGGTAATTACTATTGGGCTAATAAACCCATCTTCAGCCCACTATTCTAACTTTTTAACTTGACCTTCGAAGATTAGTTTATCGAGCTTTTTGCTTTACGCTGGGCGTAATCGTAACGGTACCCTTCTTCCTCTTAATTGTTTTGTTTTCAAGAGATAAGGAAAAATCGTAACTTTTGTTTGGTGATTTTCCAACTCTGTTTCGCCCCTGTCCATTGGTGATAAAAGAAACTGTTTTCTTGTAAGGCTATCCGTTGGATCTGATTGGTACAATATTTTGGTCCACGATCTAATTCGGGTCGTCCGTGAAGCCGCAGCAGAGATCTTTTTAAGTATAATCGGCTACGTTGATTTTCAAGTAAGGGTCGCGTAGTTTAATTTTGTGTATTAAGTTTCTTTTTAAGAAGCTTACTGGGCTTGCTGAGTTGACATGGGTATTTTGTTGAACAAAGTTTTTTTCCAATCCAAAATTCAGTAATTACAATGTCATTATCAATTTTTCTAATGTAATGTAATAATTATTCAGTGAATATAGTTCCGTCATTATCAATTATTGTAGTCACGTTTGAAACTAATTAGTGGTCGTTGTTGCTTTGTATTGTTTCCAACCATGCATTACGCCGCAGCATACTTTTATACATGGTTATTTACAGCAGGTTGATCCGACGGATGCAAAATTTCCGTATCTAAAACTTTGTCATTATTTACATTATTTATGTTCTTTTTTCTGGATTTATATGTGAAGTTACCTTCAAAATTACAAGGTGTACAAGTTGCGTCTTTCGACGGAAAAACGGGAAGGTGTCCCTTTACACATTTTTTTTTCACATTCCATGCATAAGTTTTCTCTATCTACGGCTACTGTTAATTCTAGTTTGTTAAAATTCCGGTAGTTATTTACAGTTTTATTTTCTACAGTTAACAAAAATTGAAATCTGATTGTCGTCTTCAAGTGATTAGAGATTTCCTTCTCATCTATTAAGGCAACATTTGGAGCTTCTTGAGGTGGTAAATTTTTGGCTATTAATTTTCTTTGAATTTCGTAGCCCCTCTTGTTGTTCAAAAAACTGTCGCGGATCCACTTCTCTTCTTCGCTAGATATATCACATTTCTTAGCCATTTCCGCTTAAGCACTCCAGAATTGTTCCAATCGTTCCTTGTCTTTTTGGCGTATATTAAGTAGCTTATAGCTTGCGAAAGTTACGTTCGGTTCTTTAAGAAAAGCTTTGTTTAAGAGGTCCCAAAATTCAGAGAAGTTTATTCCGAGAATTTTGACTTACCCTTACTGCCGAGTGCTTAGTAAAGCATAGAGCGGATGTTCTTGTCTGCTTCTCAATCCGTTGACTGTCTTGTTTTCTAATTTGTTTCTGGAGTTTTCGGATTCATCGAATCTTCTCCTTTTTTCTGCGTTTCTTGCTACTCGATCCGTTTTTGTCCTTTTCTTTTCGCTTTGGGGTTCTGCCTCTAGTTGTAGAATCTTTAGGTTTTGTAAATCTAAGGGATTTTAAAATTTTTCTAAATCGATGTTCTTTTCGACTAATAATGCCAATTGAAACATATCCCTCCAGCCTTCTCATTGAGTCGGGGGGTCGATCGTGTGGGTTTACCAGAATAGAGAAACCGCCTTCATGCGAGATTTGCTTACATATGACTGCGCATAATACAAAATACTATTGCTCTAGCTAAACAAAACTTAGAATAAATTAGAAGCTGAAAATATCGTTCAAAAAATATGCGTTACTTCCAACTTAGACACAATTACACTGAAGTTTGCTCACTCCGATGGAGGTCGCTAGCAATAGACAGTTCATACGAGACCAGTTAGATAAGAAAGAGTTAATCAAGTAAAGACAATCACAACAACCATCAACACAAATTTTTTTGCAAAGTTCATTTATGAGAGCTTTGATCACTATTGGATTCAAATATTCGTCTCAGGTATTCGAACACCTTACATCCAATGATTCCCTTCTGGTACGATTTTAATTTTCGGCCGACTGATCCTTAAGTTTTTCGAAAGCCGACTTTACAGCCCCGGTTTAGTATCTTTGAGATGTGAGCGAGCGCCAAAAAAAACGCAACCTTTGGGTGCAAAAATTTCAATAAATTGAAAAAAAAATTAAAAAGATCGGAAACTCGTATTTGTCAAGCCTGAAAAAAGTGGAATAATTTTTAGCATTAAAAAGTTCCTCTCTTCAAAAAATACTGGACCATAATTTTCTAAAATTTGTTGCTATCATTACCAGTAAAATCGATGAAAGTACAGTGCAAAATTGAAAGCTATCGCAACAACACGCTCAAACTTTCATCTTTAAGAAAAAAAGATTGCTGAGACAGTTTTCTGAAGCTAACAGACATCAAAAATTTAACATATTTTTTTTCTAGATTTACAGTTGTTTCTGTTGTCTTAGGGTGATAGTTGCTCGATATATTCGAAAACTACAAATGAATTTGTGACTGTTGAATTTTGTGAACGTAATACTCAAAATTCGACTGTCTTTCATTAGTTTTAGGTTAAATTGAACTATTTTCCAAGTTAAAATTGATTAATAGAGAAAAAATTAGTTAGGTTTTCTATCAACATCTGAAAATTAAAACTCTTTCATTATGCCCCCATTATGTTTTTTTTGGCTGAGCAATACAAGGAGTAGTTGTGTTGAACGAAACCGATGGTGAAGTGGTTGTGGAGTTGCTAATCTTTTTGTCTACCAATAGAAAAGCTTGAGACTTGGGAAATATTTCAATTGCCCCGAGAGTCTCCAAAAATTAGATATATGACTCAGTCAGGAGCAAAACTGTGATTTCCTGTGAACAATTGAACAGCTGGCTCTAGGTAGGTCGTTTGGCTATGCATAAACTTTAAAAAGATAAGTTATAAAGCTCGAAATAAAATGTTGCTCAGAATAATGGTAATTTTTGTTGAAGGCTTGCATGTCGCGGAAGCTTTTAAAAATGCCTTGGAAAATTAAAATGATGAAGCCTTAAAACACGGTCCAAAATTTTGCTCCAACTCTCGCGAGTAAGCTACTCCCAACAATCAAAAATTGCGCCAAAACAAAGTTTGGGCAGCAAGCTTGGGCAACGAAGTTTGGGCAAAAAAATACGGCAGCAATTAAATGTTTTTATTTAAAAAAATAGAATGGCAAGTGACACACCTTTCTGAAAAAATAGGGGGATGCGAAAACAAGTAGTGTATCTTACATGATCAGGCCACCAGCGGATTTAGGGGAGGGGGGAGCGGATCTTCCTTCTCTCTCCCCCTCCCTCAGTGATTCAACCCCCAGCCGACCCAAAGGATCCCCCTTTGTGCTATTTTGAGATATCCCTTTTTGGCTGACTCAAAAAAGCTATTTTTCCCCAATAAATCTTAAATATGGTCATGCTAAAAAAAGCTACTGAGTAGCTTTTTTAGCTACTGGATAAATTTTTTTCTTAAGGCGCCTGTGGCGCCAAAATATAGCAATTTTGAGGGGAGAGCGCGCGCCAAAAAAATTTGCGGCGCAAAAAATTTGGTCAAATAGGGGTCTGCATAGTTATTTGGGAGAGCGCAGAAAATCAATTTTGTCAACCTAAAAAGAAGTTCTTTGAAAGACCGCCCCTCCCCCTCGAGAAAATCCCAGATCCGCCCCTGGATCAGGCCAATATTTTCATTTAAAGGTGCTCCTCCAGATGACAAATACAATGGCTCAGATTCAGAATTCATAAACCACTGTATTCGAACTTTGCAAAAGGGGCATGCATAGTGAAAAAGAAAATATGTTATTTTGAAATCCAACTGAAGTAAAAGTTTTAGAAAAATGGGCAAGGATAAGTTTAAAAAAATACACCGGAGTGATGGCTTGCCCCCCAGTTTTTTGACGGGGGATTCGGAATTGTTTATGAAACATTTTGTCGACCTGTTTTTAGACCAGCGATTTCAAAAATTTGAGTTTTGCCGAACCTCAGAAATTCAGCAAAGCATATGTTCATATTTAGCATGACCATATTTAGCATTTTTTTGGGAAAAAATAGCTTTTTTGCGCACTTCTTAACAGATTTAGGCTGATAAGTTGCATTCGTATTTGCACCAAGGGAGGACTTTTTGAAAAGTTTAGCAACCCAAGATAAAAAAAGTTGGGCGGCTGGCCCCTTTAGACACACTACGTCTTAAGTCTAATTTTATAAATGTTGAATATCATCTCTTTTGTGCAATCAAGTCTAGTTCGAATTGTGTCCCAAATTTGATTAAGTCCCTCACAAAGCAAAGGAGGCTCTAAGAGCTCAATTGTTGTGACAGAGAATTAAAATGCTAATTGTGATTCTTGTAGCTGAATTTTGCTCAGATAAATCCCAATTTTATTGAATTTCCCCTCTTTGTCAAAATGACACTGTCTTCATTTCTAATTCCAGCCTCGGCCAAATTTTCAAAGAAGAGATTAAAATATTTCCAAATTCATCTTACTGGATTTGCTTTCAATAAAGTTCCAGATCGTCTTTTCTTAAGTGATCATTCTTGAAAAGATTTTTTTTCGGTTGCTTTTATTGAATTTGGTTCAACACTTTAGATTAATTTAAAAAGACAACTTGAACTGGCAATTTTGCTTGGAAAAATATTCATTTATTAAGAAACGGTTCCTGAAAACTTCAAAAAAACAGGATCTTATGTCCTTAAATTGATTCCATGTGTATATAACAAAAATTAGCAATTATAAAATCATCGACCTCTGAATAATTATACGGGAAACTATTGATTGGTGAAATTTTCAGGAAAAACTGCTTATATTTTCTTCGCAGAATATCGATTTTTCTGTTATCATTACTTTTCTGTGAGCAAAACGGTTTGTTTTTAAATATCAGTTTCAATTTTTCATCATTCTATCACAATTAGCTTTGGACTGTGACACTCTTCGTAAATTTCATTTCCGCGACTTGAAATTTTCAGTTGAACTTGTTTTTTTTTCTCATTTGAACTGATACTCTTATGAGTTCACTGATTTTCGATAAATTTTAATCTGTTAAATCGAAAATTAAACCAACTTGAATGATTGTTTTGTTTACTTCTTAATTTCCTTCTTATAAACATTGAAGAAAGTTCATCAAAGACTGCGGGAAGTCGAATTTTGAAGTGAGAGCGACCTAGCATAATCTGGAGCCTACCATTGCGTAAATGTTTACAATAGCCCGAGGCGTTTTCCAGGAACCGAGCAACATTAAAGTGGCAGACTTGCTATCGTTTTGAATGCAAACACTAACTGTTTACGCTAGGACGTTTCCGGCGTGACGGAATTCTCGAGATCAGCAATATTATAATGGCAGTTCAAACGTCCCCCGTGGAAAAATGGCAGAGTTAAAACTCTTCATGAAGTCTTTGAATTTGACAAATTTTGAACTTCATTTGTACGTTTTGATGCCCCGAAGCCATACTTAAACTTAGTGATTGTCTCACTTGCTGCTTAGCTGCAGAAAAGTTACAAATTTCAGCTTCGGAAGATTTACCAAAATAAAACGGCAAAAATTTACTAAATTTCACCAAAAACCAATGTATTCTAAACACTAATGCAAGATAGTTGAAGAAAATACAGGTTATAAAATTAATTTATCATCTTTTTCCGGAAACTGTTTCAGTTGCTAATTTTGTATAAATTCAACTTTTTTTGCACTTTTACAGGTTTATTGAATTTTTAACTGGCAATACTATCATAAAATCTGTTAATTTTGCCGTAAATTTGGGAGTTAATTATTCAAAATTTCGTTAAGTATTCAGGAAATACAACTACTTATCAGTTTGTAATTTATTGTAACATATTTCAATCTCCATCTTTTGAGCGTTACTGAAACTGCAAAAAATTAAAAACAAATCCTTTAAAATCAGCGATGCGATTGAATTTGTCATAAACTTTAAAGTATCTTGCTGCTAAAAAGGTTCCGGTAACATATGTTACAAAATCCCTTCGGAAAGCATAACAACTTGAACAAGTTCCAGTCTTTTGAGTGGATCAATTCACTATTCGACAAAGACAATCATTGAATGACTTTTCTTTACATCTGACAATCTGTTGAAATTTATTGCGATATTATACAACTTCTTTGTTACAATACAGATTAAAAAATCGGTCCGCTCGATTAAGCTTTGCAAAATTAATCTTTTTGTCCAAACACTAATTTGCGGATCACATTATATAATCTTCATTTTTTTTAAACTTAATTGACATCTTAATGAGAAAATGAAGATTACTTCAATTTTGAGCTTCGGTATTTCAGTGATTACTGTATTTAAGCAGTGTGTTACCTTGAACTGCCCCGCCTGGAATATCGACGCCCGTGAAAACATATGTTTTGTCGGTGAATATAATGAGCTCTCTAACATTATTGAACCTGAAAGCCAAAATTTTGTCGAAACAAATGCTCAAGTTTTAGAAAACATCACAAAAAACGTATGCGAGCTGCCAATTCAAACTATATGTGCTTTGAAACGTCAACATACATATCCGCTCCAAATAAAAAGCTTGAAACCTTTTTCGAATCTTCTTTTATTGGTAGTTAAAGATGAGTTTTTATCGTCACTGGAGCCTTCGGTCATTCTACCCGAACTTAATTCGCCAACTCGCAGTACGGAAGTCAAGATTAAGCTCATTCGGTTAATCGGGCAAATTGATCTGTTTCATCTAATTGATAACGTCGATCCGATTCACAGACCAGAAGCGTTGGCTATATTATCCAGAACTCCTAGAAGTATAACTCACTTAAACGAACTGGTCTACAAGCAGATGCAGTTGATTCTGACTAAAGGTTTCCGTTTCGACCAGCTGAACCTTTTTGGGGAAAGTTCGCAGTATAAAGAATACCTGAACAGCATTCTAACGGGGATTGAGACTGGATTTAAAAATGAACCTTTAAGCTGCTTCGAGAGCCAAAAATTATTTGAATTCGTCAAAAGCATGGTACAAGAGCGCAAGATGAACCCTCGCTTCTTCTATGACTATCAAAGGTCAGTTCTGGTTTGGGTCAAACTTTGGGGTCAAATTTTGCCCTGTGTCGGAACCCACGAAACGATCATACCTAAATCACGAGGCATGCAAATAGTCGAAGCACTCGTTAAGACGAATCCATCTACTGATTTTGGTGAAAATATGGGAGCTAATTTGTTATTGCAAACTTTGCAAAATGCTCCTGCAATAAACAAACACAATGGAGAAGACTTTGCTTATGATTCGATTTCTCATTTGTGGAAATATGCGACTTACGAACATTTTCGATACATTGAAAGAGCTCGGAAATATAAACAACGAAGTCTGGAAAGTCCGAGAACGATATACAACATGTTTTCACAGCCACAGAGCTTAGTTTTCACGATAAAACTAGCCGAACTTGAGTGTAATTTCCCAAAGGAGCTCTCATGTATTTGGTATTACAATTCCGAGAGCCGAGAGCAGACTTTACGATTCAATAACTTCAAGTCGGATTTGATCCCGATTTCTAGTTTATCATGGTCGGCTAAACGACAGATAGCGAATTTGATATTCACTAACCAAGTTACGGGTATTCCGATGACTAGCAAACTGGCAACTTTGGGAGGTCTTATTTCAGGCCTAGATATTACTTTACTTGTCAAAATGATAGTTAGATCGAAGCAATCTTCTGAAATCTCGAGAATTATTCTCAATGAAATCGAAAACAATGGTTCATATTTTAGTCATTTTCAGAAAAGTGTTCTAATTGGAAATATTTTGAACATAACTTCTGATGCAGCTAACTTGCCCGAAGATTTTTGGGAGTTTCTCCCATTTTCAAGTTTTCTACAAGCATCCAGAACTATTTCGAAACTAAACGTAAAAAGCATCCAAGAACAATTCATAGAAAAACCATGGAGACAAAAGCATGCTCAAGTTATCGCGAAAGATTTTGAACTTTCTGTCGAACGAAGGACGGACTTATCAATTTCAACTAGGGGAGCTTGGATTATGCCAACCGAAATTGAGCGATCCAAATTTTCTCCAGAAATTTTTAAATTCATTCAAAGCGTTTCAGCAAGCCAAAGTTCAGAATATGCCTTTCAGATAGCACAAAAAGTTCAACAATATTACTCTTCATTGAAAAACAGCGAGTTTACTTTTTCACTGATAGAAGCACCCATTTTGGCTTCTATTCCTGGAAAAGTTTTACGCGAGTTCTCGATTTCTGCTTTTTTGAGACAAAATTCATGTCGCGAATTGATTTCAAAAATAGCAAAATTAGATGATAATCACCGGTTTTCTAATGGGAGAAATCAACAGTTAGCCCATTTGTTCATAAGTAATTGTGGACAGGAGAAAAAGGAAAATTTGGGAAAGGAAGTTAGCGAGCAGTTATTATATAGTATGGGAAGCCTTGTATGCTATATTTCCCCAAATTATATCAGATTAACAGGCAAAAAAATTCTTCAAAACTCCCTGGAGCTTTTCGACCAGTGCTGCCTAACCAAAAATCAAAGCATAGCTATCAAAACAGTTCTTCTTGAAAACTCTAACGCACAAAAAACAGAAGAATTATCAAAAACTTCGCCAAAATTGAAGTACTTAAAATACTACAATTTATTTTGCCAAGTATTTGATTTTGATTTCTCTGTTTTCGAAATTGTAAATTCAAGCAGCAACTTGTTTATGACAACATTCGATGAAAGATCAGCTGTTTACCAGTTGGTCAATCAGGGTGGAATTCTTTCAGGCACCGAAAGGTCGGGAAAGTTCACGCCTAAGGATGAATGCGCGAAAAAATTCAAAGATGAAGGTCGTTTGTATGATGTCAAATTGTGTCACAAAAATGCAACTGAACTGATTTTGCTTATGGAACCGGAAACTCTCAAATGCAACACGTTAAAGATACTCGACCAAGGTGAGAACTTTTAAAGAGTTGTCGAACTGTTAGTTTTTGTAGCTTGATTATATTTTGGCCTTCAAAAATTTGAAAATTGAGGCTTTCTTGACTAATCTTGACCATTATTATTTGAATGAATGCTTGAAAAAAAACACTCTAAAAATTTCGAAGAAAAATTTTTGAAAAAAATGAATAGTAATGCATTTTTACAATTTTTTATGTACCATTTAAAATGAACACAATAATCAGAGTTTCTCGTTTTTTAGGAATTCGTTGGATAGACGCTAATCAAATCCAGGCCATGCCTCTTGACGAACTAAAAAACTGCCTCGACTACCTAGGAACCGAAATAGATCAATCACAAATTACGCACTTGAGTGAAACAATTCTGAAACGTTTAAGAAAAACCGGCAACATGCGCGAATTAAAACCAGAACAATTGAAAAACTTCTTGCCGTATGTCACTTCATGGGATCTAAGAAGTGATCGACTCTCATTGGCCGATTCTAGTTATGACGTAATGAACTTATTATCCAATCAGGTTCTTTCTAGAGATTCGTCGATACTTATTCAAAACTGTTCATTTCCCGAAAAATTTCATTCGCAATTATTCTCTTTTCCATCGGAACAAGAAACCCGGGCCTTCATACTATCAATGGGTGGATTGCTGTGTTATGAACCAGAAAAAGTAATCCCACTAGTTAAACCAAAATATATCAAAGATTTATCAAACTCGTTGAGTAATTGCCCGTTCGAATACATTGATAGATTATCAGTAGTGAAATCATTATTAGATGACACAGTTTTCAACATCCACGACATTGGTAATGTTGAAGATTTGGGAATATTTGGATACCAACTTTTGACTGACAACTCTATAACTGAAGTTGTGGACGAGCCTATGGTACAAGCGATAAGCTTGCAAGCGTTAGCCATTATGCCTCCAACTTATGTAGCCATGATGATACCTGAAAATATTTTTCTGAAGTTCTCGTTGCAACAGGCCAATTTTCTGTTTAAATTCAAGATTGAATTTCTAAGTTTGCGTCAAATTAATTTTCTGACCTTGACTCTAAACCGAAACGATTATATACAAAATTTTGACGACCGCTTAGATCCAATCATTTCTATAAGTGCGACTGAAGACCAAATAAGTCAAAATATCGACCATTTTGGAAATCAAGTGAGACAAAATTCGACAAAACTCTACGATAGACATTCAAACCTAATCTACGTGTACAGTGCTTCTTATAAATGTGATAGTTATTTTCTACTTTTCGTTTCTGTCTGTATCAAATGTTTATTTTAAAAATGCTTTATAATGGCTTAAATGAAATGAAATTGTCTTCAAATTGCATAGCAAAAATCGTATTTTTTTATTCATTCAATCTCAAAACATTTGAACGTTTTTTAAACAGATTTTTAAAAACAGAAATGTTAATTTAGCAAAATTGCCTTTGTGTGTGTGTGTCTGTGTGTCTGTGTGTGTGTGTGTGTGTGTGTGTGTGTGTGCGTGGAGGAGTTAGAATGGGGCTCAAAATTGCTCAAAAAGACGTGAGATGACAACTGCAAACCTGCAAGTACAAGATAATCCTCAACCACGCTCCCCCCGCCCAGTAAAAATATGGTGTTAATCTATTGGAATTCGATGTAATTAAGTTTTTCAAAACGCAGTTAGATAATTTATGGAAAAATGAATGGCAAAAATGAATTGATTATGCTTTTAAAGCTTTTTAAATAGCAAATCAAGCAGCAATGATTTTTTTGATCAGCGCAGAAACTAACACTGATGGAATATTCGGTGCTTCTTGCCCTGCATTCGGTTATTCTCGTTATATAGCTTCCTTTATAACAAGTTTCGGTGGCTTCCGTTATTTCTTAAGTCTCAAAGAGTGCGATGCGAATAAATCAGGGTCAATAAACATAATGCTGACCGATTGAAAAATAAGCAGACCCATGAACTTTCAAATATTGCAAAATCAGTGTCGGGTATCGGCAAAAACTTGATACTCCAAGAATACACATTTAAAAAAATAAACAGCAAAAACATTCAGGGCTGTACTGCTATAATTCATTTTTTGTTATTAATGATTTCAGTTTTGTGCAAAAGTCGTTCAGTTCACTAGAACGTGTTACGATGCTGTTTCGTTTGAAACTATCCATCATCATCTTGACTACCTGAAAGAAAACTCGTATAGGGGTCAAGAGTAACTTCATTTTTGAAAATTTTTCGCCGTAAATTGGATTTCAAATGAAATTTCAAAAAAAATTTCACGGTGAAGTTTTTGATTCAAACTTCAGATTATGTGATACAAAATTTACAAATGACAGCATGAGAGACTGAGAGACTCACTCTCATATTATGTTTTTTTTGCGAATTAAATTTTAGTTGAGCAACATAACTTGTCAATTATAAACCATAGCATAAAAAACTGAAAACTAAATTCAACATTATAAAATTTTTCGGCTTTTTGATTAATTTTGAGCATCTTTAAGCTCAATCCTTGCAAACTGAATATTCTGCTTAACTTTCACGGCAACAAGCTGCTCCTTTTTATCATATACGGCGTTCTCGCAATGAGATTTCCTTTGGTTGTAATTGTAGATTTTTTTACAATCAATGGAATCTAATTTGCAAACAATTTATTACGATTATTATTATTATATATCCCCTGATAAATGGCACTTTATTTTCCCCTAACAACACGAAAAATCGTTTTCTATGTGTCGGGTATCGGCAAAAACTTGATACTTCAAGAATACATTTTTAAAAAAATTGAAAAACAGCAAAAACATTCAGGGTATATCTGCACAAATTGTACAGCAAAACTTGGCTGTATGCTATAATTCATTTTTTGTTATTAATGATTTCAGCTTTGTGCAAAAGTCATTCAGCTCACTAGAAGGTGTTACGATGCTGTTTGATTTGAAACTATCCATCATTCAATAACTCTACCACGAGAAAAATCTCACAAGTGTAGATTGAGAAAATCATTTTTTCGCTGTCAAAGCGGAATAATCGAGGTTGTGTAAAATGACAAAAAAATGACTGAAATATGCAGCGGCCATCAACAACTATGTCGCAAACAAAGTTGTGCGAAGTTAGCTAAAGGCTTCTGGCAAGCACTTGCTCAAAATTGAAATGTTTTTGTCCGCCTTTCGAAGGAAGCGATAGAATATTTGAGCTTGGTTTAGTTTTTTGTTAGACTAACTTTGTCTATCAAGACAGCTCAGATAACCACACCCAAGGGAGCTGTAGCGTATGATGCGTTATATTTTTAAACTGATTTTGACTATCTGAAAAAAAACTCGTATAGGGGTCAAGAGTAACTTCATATTTGAAAACTTTTCGCTGTAAATTAAATTTCAAATGAAATTTCAAAAAATCTTTCTCGGTAACGATTATACTCAATATTTAGATTTGTGATACAAAAATTACAAATGACAGCATGAGAGACTCGATTTTTTTTTGCAAATTCAATTTTATTTAAGCAAGTATAACTTGACAATTATCAACTTAATTTAATTACCATAGCATAAAAAAACTGAAAAGTAAATCAACAATATAAATTTTTCGACTTTTTGGTTAATTTAGAGCATCTTTAAGTTCAATCCTTGCAAACGGAATATTCTTCTTAACTTTCACGGCAACCAAACGAAATCTCATAGCGAGAACGCCGTATACAGTGCTGATTTAAATTAACCGGACAAAAGGCGTTAAACTTGAAACTTAAAACGCGTTTTTCTCAAATTGGGTTGAGTTTAGGTGAAAACTTATGAAGACAAAACTTGCCTCAAATTTTAGCAGAATTAATATAGTGTAATTTATTTTGCAAAATTCGGGCCCGAAATTTTACCCCAAAAATGGGTCATTTTGGCTTTTCTTAGTTAATCAAAAATACGCCAAAGATACCCAGTCAATCTCAGTCATAATTATACCAAAGTGAGCCCCTTACGTAGCCTAACAAACTTTAAGAAAGGTATATTCTCCAAAACATTGTATAAGTTAATTTATTTTTGTTTGATAGACAAAAAAGGTCGTTTTTACTATATAAAACAGCAACTTTTTATTTAAAAACAATTTTTAAACGATTTGCAAATTTTTTTGGAGAATATACCCTTCTTAAAACTTAAAATTTGTTAGGCTACGTAAGGGGTTCATTTTAGTATAATTATGTCTGAGATTGACTGGGTATTTTTGGCGTAAATTTTGGTTAACTAAGAAAAGCGAAAATGACCCATTTTTGTGGTAAAATTTCGAGCCCGAATTTTGCAAAAAAATTACATCATATTAATTCCGCTAAAATTTTAAGCAAGTTTTGTCTTCATAAGTTTTCACCTAAACTCAACCCAATTTGAGAAAAACGCGTTTTAAGTTTCAAGTTTAACGCCTTTTGTCCGTTATAATTTCGTTTGGTTGTAAAAGTAAAAACTTTTACAATGAATGGAACCTAATTTGCAAACAATTTATTAGGATTATTGTTCCGACTTTCGATATGAAAGTAACGGAATATTTGTGCTCGGGGTGGGTTTTTTTTTCTTCAGACAAATTTCGACTTTTTAACTAGCCAATTTTGACGAAATTTTTTATATCATTCAAAAGGTATTGTTGTCCTGAGCTTAAATTTGAAAAAATATTTCACCTGTGATCATTTTTCGTAAAGTTATGGGGGTTTAAAGATTGCCATTTTGGCCAATTTTACCAATTTGGGACAATTAACGTGCGATATATTTCGCGCTATTAACGCGTAAGCGGAGATTTGATCCGTCTTAGAAATCGTTCCAAATTGGTTGAAAGAAGCTCATTTGCAATAATTGATTTGTTACAATGAGCGAAATCTATTCTTTTGTACTTTATATGGCGTATGGGGGGATGATTTCATTAAAAAACTTCAATTTTCAGAATCTTTTTTTTTCTTTTTTTTTGATATATTCAATTTTTTTTTGTCACTACTGCTTCATAAACCTTAAGAGGCAGTCGGAACATTCAGGGCTTCGCCCTGATACGAGCAGTCTTATTATTATTATAATCACCTGATAATTAAAACTTTTGTTTTCCCCTTACAGTACAAAAAATCGTTTTCCATGTTTTTCCATGATAGTATGCTTAACTTAACTGCGCAAATTTTTCTTTAAAGTTTGACAACCACAGCGCCAAAAAAACAAAAGTCAGGCCAGTTCTTATGCAAAATTTTATTGCATCCTGAGGTAATTATTAAAAAGCCTTTTTGTACTAACTGCCTAAAGCGACTTAACGTTAGGTTGCAGTGGCGTATAACACTCGCAATCAGAAGTGATATTTAAACTGGTTTCTAAACACTATCCATCCAACAACTAGTTTAGCAAAATATCCCCTGGATACTTTTTTATTGTTCCGACTTTCGATACGAAGTAACGGAATATTTGTGCTCGGGGTGGGTTTTTTTTTCTTCAGACAAATTTCGACTTTTTAACTAGCCTTTTTGACAATTTTTTTTTATATCATTCGAAAGTTATTGTTGTCCTGAGCTCAAATTTGAAACGATTTTTTCGTAAGATCATTTTTTGTTAAGTTATGGGGGTTTAAAGATTGCAATTTTTGCCAATTTGGGACAATTAACGCGCGATAGTTCGCGCTATTCACGCGTAAGCGGAGAGTTAATCCGTCTTAGAAATCGTTCCAAATTGGTTAAAAGAAGCTTATTTGCCATAATTGGTTTATTACAAGGAGCGGAATCTATCCTTTTGTACTTTATATGGCGTTTGGGGGGGATGATTTTCATAAAAAATTTCAAATTTTAGAAAAAAAAAATTTCATTTTTTTTATTTCATTGAATTTTTTTTATGTTATTACTGCTCCATAAACCTTAAAAGGCAGTCGGAACATTCAGGGCTTCGCCCTGATACGAGCAGTCTTGTTTGTTTTTCTGCTCATTATCACGACATCCTGATTGAATATTGCAATAGTGAAGCAGCTAACAAAGAAAGATTAAGTTTTGTTGCTTCTAGAAAAATTCAACAGTGGTGACAAAAAACTCGAAACGAGCTTTAATATTCGTGGAATAAGTATCTTTCGTTTTGTTTATCGTTCACAAAATTTAATTCACCGTAGCTATACAGTGGTAAAGTTTGAATCTTGACTTTGCTCAAAAATGAACCATGCTCAAGAACCAGCCAGTTATCTTGCTATAAACAAAAAGTCGTTGATTCCTTCAAGGATGCAAGCATATTAACAAGAATTAACAGATGTCAAAACAAAATCAAAATTATTCAACATTACGAATCAACTGACAAATTTATGAACAATTTGTATTCAAGTGGCAAACGAAGTATGCGATCGACTGAGGTCTAGTCTAGTCTGCCTTGCCTAGACCTATTTATTATCAATTGAGCAT